AATGTTACCAAACATGGCACAGCCCTTAAGCTTTATCTGTGCGGTAGTGGCACATGCCTTTAATCCCTGAACTTGAAGGCAGAAGCAAGTAGATCTCTGTGAGTTCAAGACCAACCTGGTCTATAGAACGAGTTCTAGGAGAGCCAGGACTACATAGAGAAACCCTGTCTCAAAAAACCAAAACTAAATAATAAATAATAAAAAAACAAAAATAGTACTATATTAAGATGGCAAACTTTCTTACAGAAAAATTTAAAAGTTACACTCTGCTTATTTCTCAGTCCCTCTTGGGGTAGTTTTTTTTTCATAACTTCCCAGAAATTTTCTATGTAGATACAGTTACCTGTAGGTCAATAGATTTGCACACTTGTCACTTTTTAAATGTATACATATTTTAATTAGATGATTGCCCAACTCCCAACATTCTCAGGAAGAAAAGCAGCATCATTTCCGGATCATGTTCTCCTCAAACTACTGTCCCATGTACACTTGTAAAAAGCTTCCAACCAATAGAACGTCATAAGAAATTGTTAATGGACAAAGATAGAAAGATTTAAGACATAGGACTTTGTCCAGCAGGGTCAGTACTTGCGACTAAAGAAATGGTCCAAGCTGTACCCACATCTAAAGCAGCATCTGCCCAACCAGATGATGCAAACTGGGGCTGCTAAAATTCATTAACAACATTTGATCTCGACATTGATGACACTGACTCATATTTCATCCTCTGCCAGAGGTCTTACTCATCTAGGGACCCCTCCTTTTACAAGTAGGAACTTATGGCAGTGACTGCTTTGTAACTTCCTCCAGAGGTCATAGGGAAGGAAGGTCAGATCTTAGACCAGGCCTGAGTGACCTGTATCCACACCACACCCCTTTTCTGTCTCTTCACTATCATGGGAGGAAATGATTAAATCTGTGGTTCTTTAGTGAAACTAGCTGGGATCAACTAGGGCACTTTTTACAAATGCAGATCCCTGGCCTTCACATACTCTATGAATGATTCAGGTCTGAGGAGGGAAGGTAATTTTAAAAAGAACCTTCCAAGCCAGGTAGGCTGGCTCTTGTCTATACTATAGTTCTAGCACTTGGGAAGTTCTGCAGGAGGATTGTCATGAGTTAGATATCAACCTGGGCTATATGGTGATTTCAGGATAGCCTTGAATATGCAGTGAGACCCCTATCACCAAAAACAAAAAGAAAGGAAAAGAACCTTCTCATATGATTGTGATATATAGAAATATTTGACAACATTTTCTCTAAAGGTGACCATCTCTAAACAAATTAAGCAACTAGCAACAGAGTGTACACATTCCAAACAAGGGAAATATTCCTTTTATTCTGATGGCTGATGTGGCCAATGGGTGTGAAATTTTTAGTATAAACATCTGAGCTCGTCTCATTTTAAGAATTCTGGCAGGTCTGAGATTTCTGACTCCCTAAGTTGAAATGCTGTCAGAAGT